CATTTTGGCCCAAGTACAAGAAAAGAGGCAGTATCTGTATGTTGATGGAAATAAAAATGGCAGTTGTACTTGGCCACGCCCACATATATCTACTCCCTGCCCCCTTCATACGAGTAAGGATCTAAAATAAGGTTACCTTTAAAGATCAACATGAAAAATCAGTTGTTTTGGTTGTGATGCACACACTTAAGAATGTGATTGCAAAGGGCGAAAATAATGTCTGGTCCCCGAAGATGCTTTGTGAGCAGGGTCCGTGTGGAGCGCAAGGGCATCAGTGGTGCAGTGCTCCAAATTCTAATTTTAAATTAAAGCTGTTCTGCAGGAAGACACTCCCCTCCTCAGGCTCTTGCTGGCTTTGAGCCCGCCCTTTTGCATCCCGGCTGAGCCCATCCCATCTGACTACGCCCCCTCCGGGACACACAACAGAGGCTTGTGTGCCATCCCTTGGTATGAGTGTCAAGGTGCGCCTGCCCCTGCACTATATGGTAGTTAACATTCCTGAACCTCGCCTTTTATGCTTCCAAACACGGCCCAGCCCTTCCAATGTGGAAAGGAAAATTGTTCTTATAGTCATCCAAAGGAGAGCCGTAATAGGCATGCACTTGTTTTATTCTAATTGAATTGACTGGGGACACTCAAGACTATCATTTAGTTATCATCATGCCATGTTTTGAGACATCTTTTCAAAGGAAAGGATATTTAAAATTCTCCCCTTAGGTCTTCAACTGCACTGAATGCATGTTAAGGAATAGCATGGTCAATGGCTCTTATAAACAGACAGATATTATGAACTGACACACTTTTCAGTTAAGTCATTGCTTCATACATACCTCACTCTTACTTCAGATTTAGCATACAAGTAGGCTGCAATTTTCAGCCTGTGAAAATCAAATTCTTTACCTCCTTTGGGTATACTTGAAAGCAGGATCTTTATAATGCCTAGAACCCGAGGTCCACACTGAACTCTTAAAAAGTCCAATGATTTCTGGAAGCCACCCACCTGCCACCGTGACTCCGTGTTGTGCTTACTTTTCCACCAAGTAAATAAGTAAACAGTGTTGGATAGCGTATACCTCATGCTGCTTTAGGGAACCAAAATACCAAACATAAAGATCAATGGCACGTGTACGTTTTCCGGACAAAGTAGGAAGTTGACTCCAGTGAATCAAGGCTCTGCTTTAGGTCCTCGGGAGTAAGTCCCACTAAATTAAATGGGATTTGTTCTCCCAAAGTATTGCCTTACACAGTGCGACCCTAGACACTTACTCCAACCAAAGCCTATTTCTTTCAATTGGGTTAGAGTAATTCTGTACAGAACTGCACTGCTATTCTACTAAATCTTTGTATATTCTCTGCTGTAAGAATCACACTTTAAGGAAATGCAGCTAGTTGACAAAGGCTACAATCCTGTGGGGAGGCAGTTCTATTGAATTCAGTGGAACTTGCTTCCACTGAACAGGTATATAGCCAGGCCGTTAGAAATGCAGCTGTCACCCCAGCCAATATGATGTTGCAATCCCCAACAGTATGTTCTGGCTTTTACATCCAGTATAGCTGTGCCATTTCCACAACTACATCCTTATGCTCTCCATGGGCTGTGCCTCTAGAAAGCCTTTTATCCTAGTGTATGCTACAGCACCATCCACATAGAAAAGCCAGAGTCTACAGAAAATAGGGAATAGACTTGGGGAGGGGATATCCTTTTAATCCTTAAAGCCCGCTTACAAACCACAGGGACAAGAGGCTATTATATATCATGCTTTTAATACAAACTTAAAAAAATCTGGAACAATAGAAACTGTACAGATTTGATCAACCTTTGTTGTTTTTAACTAAATCTCTAGACATGCCAATGTCCTGTTCCAAAATATTGCACAACTTTCTGAATACAAAACTCTGATTGTATTCCTCCTTCGCTAGAGAAAAGAAAAAAAAAAGAAAATACCCCCTCTGGATCCCTACTCAATGGCCCCCAGCTGTTAAAAAAAGAAAGAAAGAAAAAGAAAAAACCCAAACAAGAGAAACAGCATGGACCTCTGCATTAAAAAACACACATAATTCTGTCTTCTTTGCGCTCATCCATTCTCTAAGATCACATGTTGTTGATTCACTCTTCAAAAAGGGTCAGGAAGGAGGGAGGCGAGGGGAGAAAGGAGCTTTCACTGCTTCTTTTTTAAAATTTTCCTGAAAAAATATTTTTTCTCTCCTCTAAGAAAAAATCTTGAAAAGAAAAAATTTCAATTTTTTACGTTAGAAATATACATATATTATATATACCTCTTACATTTTACAAATGTAGCAAATTATTCAATATAAACGGACAACAAAAAAAATTAACACAAACGCATAAAAATAAAAGTTAAAAAAAATCTCTTTTTTTCTTCCTAAGAAACCAGGTAAATTAGTGCAGGTTTTAAAAATAAAATTGAAGCTGAACATCTAACTCTTGAGACAAGAAGACCAAAAAAGAGGCCGTGAGTTTCATTGCCGCCAGCACTGGAAATGCTTCTGAAGCACATTGGGATTTCCTTTAGGAGATAGATGTTGGTCCCTCCCCTTTCCCTCCTTGTGTATGCAGACTTCTTTTCAAAAAACAGTTAGCAGGATAAAGCAGTGTCAAACATCACACATTGCAGGTGCTAGTGAGGTTCCCCCTCTCCCTTCAATGCATTAAAGCCTTAGAAAGGTACAGGATCCCACCCAGGCAGTGGCTCATAGCAGCTTTCTGCTGCAGGAGAAGTTACCAAAGGAGATTATACTGGGGGGATAGGAAGCCAGCAGCTCTCCTAGTGAGGGAGATTGGGTTCAAGTCCAGTGTAATAGCTTGGCAGTCTACAGTACATTCCAGAGGGAGAAATGGGTGGCAGTGGTAATGTTAAGGGGAAAGGCAGACAACAGTTGCTTTTGCTGAACAGGTCTCAAGCATCTCGTTCAGGGTTTGGACCTTAAGCCCCTGGAAACTTCCCCATCACACTACTGCCTGACAGTGTATTCCCTCTGCATCCACTCAGCGGGTAACAGAAAAACAGATGACCATTAGTGTCGTCTTCCTCAGCCCAGCAGAAGATGGATGAGGGGAAAAAAAGAGGTACATGGGAACAAAGGGAATCAGTTTGGGGGCACCCTGAAAACATCTGCTGCACAAGCCCGTCTTTACAACTTCTATTCACATCAACACGGCTTGGGTAGCAGACATTCTCTATGAATCATGCCCACCATCTTTAGTGCTTCAAGGCTAGAGCATCCTTCATGGGAGGGGAGATGCTTACGGTACTTAAGGCTCATAGAGTTCTGTAGGGCATCTTCAGTTTAGCTTTTGGAGAGACTGGGAAGTCAGTTTCCTCCCAAATAACTGGAGATCCTCTAGAAGAACAAATTGTAGCTTATGTATTCAAAATGACTTTGCCAGAGAAACTGCTAAAACAAGACTTTGTGCACTCAAAGTATGCTGTGGAATAGACCCCCCCCCAAAAAAAAGGTGGGGTGGGAGACTAATTTTGAAGCCTGGAGTATACACGCCAACTCTCTGCTCTCTACCCACCTTCACTGCCCTCATGGTGACTCAGTCGAAGACCTCTCAGCCCTTAAAGCCATTGCTAGGCTCCCTTGGGGGATGTACTAATAATCTCACAAGGCTTAGATGGGGAAATGTTTACTGCCAAAGGCAGATTTTGTCATCATCTACAAAAAAAACTCACTCTTAAAGGCCACAACTTTCCCTGTCTTCCAGGCTGCCCTTTCCAATAGGAAAGGAGAGATGCAGGGAATAGCATTAGGATTCCTAGCTCACTAGCAACAGTAAGGACAGACAAGACACTCTACATTCATATCACAGGAAAACAACCCTTTCTCCTCATGACACCTGAAGTCACTTGGAAATTCTACAGCAAGCCCACTCCATCTCCAGGACAGAGTCTTAAGATGGAACAAGTGCCTGCTCGACCTGATATGTGGGGAGCTCTTCCATATGGGAATGCCTGCTTCCTTTCATGTGAAAAAAATCATACGGTTTTTGGTCGAAAGTTTTACGGGACACGAAATTCAAAGTGCAACCCTTCATGCCATCCATCCAGAAAGCAGTTTGCAATATAACTCCCTTACACAGAAATAATGCTCAAAAGCATTCCACAGCAGGAAAGGAAAATAAAACATCTTTCCTGTAAGAACCAGTGGCTAGAGGCTCAGGTGTCAACAGAAGTGTCCAGAGCCCTGGAAACCTAGGTGGTTGGTCCAGAGGAACATCAGCAGGTGCTGCTCAGGTACAAACACCACAAGGTCTGTGTTCACTTCTACAGCAAACATGGATCTATTTTTCTTTTAAGTCAGATTCTACAGCCCTCATTTATAACCACAACTGAAAAAGAGTCCCAATTGCCCAAAGAGTTCAACTCACCCAGGATGGTCAAGGAGAAGGATGGTTTTGAAATGGAAAACACTACACTAAATTGTCCCCAAGAATGTGGTCCTTCAGCACTTTCCTGGGGCTTGAGGGACCTTTAAGACAAATGTCTCTCCTATAGGGCCTTGTCAACACTTAGCACAGGTTTTTAAAAGAAGACTATTACTCTCTTGCAATAGGAATACAAATGAGGGCAATGACAAATGAATATATGTCCCAAATCTTCCTCTTAAGTAGTACTTGAGAATTCACAAATCCAGAAGCAAACTAAATCCACATTAAAAGGGGAGGGGGGTCAACACATATGGACCTAAGAGACATGACAGTGCCCTGAACAAGACCATTCTTATAGTAAGCACACTTGAGAACCAGTTCCAAGGAGCAGCACAGGAGATAAAGTGATGCTGGTTTACACCACTGCTGGGCTGAGAAGGATAGATTCCCTCATTAAGTGTAAGAGAATGGGTAGGAAAGAGTACAGGAAACAAGTTTTTAAAAAAATCATCAGTGCTTCAGCAGCGCTCCCTGGCATGACGCAACGAATCAGGGTTTGTCTCTTTCCAAGAAGCTATATTTATAAGATTTCAAATATTTCTAATTATTTTCTCTCTTTCTCTTTTTTTTTTTTGGAAGTTATTTTCCCCAGAATACTCTCATGGTGGTCAGTTGGCCAAAACCACTGGCTGGAACGACTGGCTGGGATACTGCATGGCATTCAGATTGTAGCTAAGTCCTTCCACGAAGGGTGTCTTCTCCAGAAAGAGGCTGTTGGTGCTGCCACCAAAAACCTGAGCCATATCAAAGCTGCTGCTGCTGCCGCCACTGGCACTGAACTGGGATGCAGGTGGGATGCCACCAGCCTGGTTCTCGGCAGCTACGCCATCAAAGAAGAGGCTGCCAGCTCCCGGGGATCCACCGTTGTAAACAAACTCCTTGGCATTGGGGGAGAGCTGAGACTGAGGAGCTGGACTGCCCCCAATGAAGTTCAGAGAATGCATAGAGAGGGAAAGGCCTTTGTGCTTCAGCAGGCCATTGGTGGGTGACCGGGCCAAACGCTGCTGCTGCTGCTGTTGCTGAGGGACCCCTACGCCATTTGTACTGGCTCCAGCTCCTCCGCCTTTCTTCATCTTAGTTGAACCAAACTTTGTGGCAGCAAAAGTGGCAGTGGTGAAGGTGATGGGCTGGGCAGAGCGAGGGATGAAAGTAGGGCTAGGAGACTGGCCAAAAGATGGGGATGGAGAATTCGACAAGGAGTTGTCCTGGCTTCCAATGGGGACGAACACCTGGGCATCAGGGTTGAAGCTGCTCTTGATCTCCTTGTCCAACTCAGCTGCACTGCAGCCTTCACTGTCATCCAGATACAAGACCTTGACCGACCCTTTCTCTCCAATTTGGTAGGAGACTTCAAATGGGTCAATCCAGACACTCAGTTCTTCAGGGACATTGGCCCGCACATCCTCTACAGCCAGTCCACTCCTCTTGGCAGCTAGTTCCACTACAGGGTCCACTGTCTCCCCAATGTGAACACAGCGATAGCCTGAGCCCTTCAGAGGCTTCTCTGGGTACCAGTGGCCTTCATATTTCTTCTTCAGTAACCGCTCTAGCTCTTCTCCAAACAGGTCGGCCCGCCTCCGTGGAAGCTTGTTGTACAGGTAGGAGATGATGAAGTTCAGAGCAACTTTGATCTCCAGATGCATACTCCCTTCACAGCAAGCAAGTTAGGGCAGTATATTAAAAGAGACAAAGAACACAAACATAGACGGATTTTGGCTCCAAACAACCCTGAAAAGAGAGAGAGAGAGGAAAAAGAGAAGGAAAAAGAGTAAATATGCATATTTTGTTGCAGCACAACAGCTGTATCTGAAAACGGTTCAGACATTAACGTCTAAAGATTAGACATAATGCTATTTACATTGAATAAAGGGCTGTTAAAGCATCCAAGCCAAGCTGTGAGATGGGTTTACAAGTCAGTACCCCCACTGCAATCAGTACCACCAGGATGCTTTGATCTACTGTTTTTGTTTCAAGACTCACCAGATGAAAGGTTCTGCTCACACTTCACAATGTGCCAGACATTAACTATGAGAATTCAATGCTACATCTGGCAGAGTGTTAAAACCTGAGGGAACAGGGGCAACAAACCTTGCTGATCAAAATCATCCCCCTTTACTATTTTAAGGACAAAATATAGTTAACAGTTAAATTATTTCTTAGCAGCCTCTCCAGGGAACCGCATGAGGCAGCTCACAACAGATTAACAATAAAAGGCAATCATGCCATTTAAAATGTCCAGACAACAGCACTGAATCATAACAAAACAACCTAAAACCAACATAAAGATTAAACAATAGCTAACGTGGCACGTCATATGAACCCTAAAAGTATTTTGTCTGTTCTTGCTTTGTGAGCAACCATTTTCACATTTTATATCACATTCGTTACTTAGGGCTCTTGTGTCACAATCTTATATTATTTATTTATTTATTTATTAGATTTATATCCCGCCACATCCAATATTCAGCTCGGGGCGGCTCACAGACGGCCATGCCGAAGTTAAAAATATACATACAAACAACACATAATAAAACACTGTATCTTAACATAAAATTTGGTGCTCAGATAAATTTTCTCCATAATATCAAAGAAACTTCCACTTTTAACTTTCTTATCACAGTGCAAGTCACTGAAGCTGTGTCTATCCATGCAAATGACATAAATAACGCCCAGTGCATGTACGTTTGTCACAGCCCTCCAACTCATGGTATGTTTCCATAGTGACAGTGCTGAAGTGTCCACCCAGATTTAACCTACAGGCCACCCTTTAGGTGGTGGCCTACAGTCAGAATGAGCCCAAGTCTCATTTTAACCACCAGGGCACAACAGATCTCTATCAGTGCCCAAAACAAGCTGTGTGAGATCTATTGTTATAAGTGGTGATTCACTCCCCCAGCACGGACACTCAAGTGGTAAGCAGGCAGCAAAGGTATGGGGAACAGCTATTTCTTCTCCTGACAGTGTCAGAAAAACAAGAAGGACATAAAATAACCTGGGTAATGAACTGTCAGCCACTGTCTTAATGTTCTGACCCCTAGTCAAATCCATTATCATCAAGAAGTTTGCTCATGAAAAGCCCAGGCACCCCATTAGGCTCCCAAGAAGTCCCATGGGGTCTGAAAGTAAACCCAAGTCTCTCCCCAGTTGAGGTTTTAGATTGTAAAATCATCTGCTTGCTCGCCATATGACCCCACCCTGTGCATGTCTCATGCACAGCCTATCAAATAATCTTTTTAAATGTCCCAAAAGAAAAAAAAGGATTCTCAACCTATGAAAAGTAAGAAGTGTATGTGTTGCCTTGTCTGTTCAGCAGAGATGCAGCACACCCAGTATTTAAGTGGCAGCTTAGTCAGATTGCAGACCTGCCCTCTGCTTCCTTAGAATCCTCTCAAACACAACTCAAGATATTCAGAGATGCTTGCTAAGCATGGCTAAGCGAATGTTTTTCGTTCCACCATCAACGTCTTCTGATGTGGGTATGTGGAGCTAAAAAGGAAGCTAAGTTTCCCTAAGGAACTTGGAACCACATCAACAATAATTAATTACAGCATGAAGAAGCAAAGAAGCTAGTAGGTTAGTTTCAGCACTAAGTATTTATGCCAATTTAATCTGACTACAGTGTCCGAGGGTGTACTAGCACACCAGTTCTTGGAATTAAGCTAAACTGTGCAGAAGGAACTGAAAATTTAACCCAAATCCCACAGAAATCTGCATTAAAATTTAGTTAATTATCCGTATCCGTGTGGTCAAGAATTGCTATGCTGAACACAGGTATTATTTAGATCACTTCCTCCAAATCCACCCGACTAGCCATATGATCATGGAGTGGCTGCTGACAGCACAGCCCCAGCCTTCAGAGCTTGTACTTCAGGAGTTACCAGACCATGAAATTTTATTACAGCTATTTGATTTTGCCTGTTAAAATAAAAATGGAAATTGCCATCTGAGTACTGGAAATTTCAGAAAAGGTAAACTAAAAATAGACAATTTTTAGGCTAACATGTAAGCAGGAAAAAACTCCTTAAAATGAAACCTTCCAGTGGATTTTTGGCTACAGAACAACCCCTCGGTAAACACAGTGCAACTGAGAACTCTGAGAAGATCAGCCCACATTTCCCCAGGCACACAGCCTAACTTATATCTGAGGAAGTGTGTCTGCATATATAAGCTGCCTTGAGTATTTATTTTTCAACAAAAAGAGTATAAATCACATTCTAATAATAATATGTAGCAAATTTATCAATCTGTTGTGCCCAAGTCTGGGGGGATAGCAGATGACAGGGGCAAAATCTTTCATTTCTAGCCACCAGATTCTCATGTGGAGAACTAGATGCCATAATTCAGGCAGCATAAATCCAGCACTTCTTCACAGGGAAACAAACAGTAGTAGACAAATATCATCTTTCCCATGAAATAAACACCATGATTATGCATCCATCAGTTCTCTTGGATAGAATACTGACAAACCTGCATCTTAATCCTCTGCAGATTTAGTCAGAAGCAAATCCCAATGAGTTAAATGGGACTTACTTAAAAGGAAATGGTTCTGGAATTCTAGCTTTAGGACTGAAAAAAAAAACAGTTTTCTGATTTAGACAAGCTTTTTCAACTAAAGCTATACTGCGATATTTAAGAGTGACAGCTCTCAACAGCCACTCATCAGGAACTGGGGGGGGGGCTGTCACTCAGATCCGCTCACTTTTAAAAAAGCAAATATTTGAACTTCAAAAAACATTTTTCAGTGTTTATTAGCTCTACTTTAAATCTGAGAGAGTACCATCAACACACACACACAGAACTAAACATCAAATGACCCCCTCTTGTTATAAGTGTATTTCTGACAAACTTCATACAAGGAAAGGGATTTATGCAACATCAAGAACCACTGTTTGCCTGTCAGCAAAATAAGCTATATATGCATCATGGTCCCTTAATCCCTAGATTGTTAACATGGCAACCTATGCACAGGGGACATCTGCAGGTGGCAAAGCATAAAACAACACTGAATCTTTTGCAAAATGGCATTTAAAGGTGTATGTTAAAGTGCCTCATGACAACCTATGACCTGAAGGTGTCAGAGTTAAGTGGCAATGTATTTTGCACATGACAATTACAACCACAACATACAAAGTGAAATAATGAGCTCCAAGGTATTAGCCTATGATCTGGCACACAACAATCCCCATTAAGTCTATTGTGTCTCAGAAATACAGCAAGTGTTCAGCTGTTTTTTTAATGTGTCAAGTATGTACAACAATCCATTCATACTGAGGAAGTACCTTTGTACCATGGAAAGAGATATGATTAAGTCATGACCTTGGTAGCTGATGCCTCGATACTTTTTTTTAATGCTCAGGAAGAGTTTCTGCAAGAAACACCTGGCACTGCCAGTGTAAAGTGAGTCAATGCCTCCAATTACTTAAAAGAAGTTTGAATCTCAAGAGCTGTCCCCTACATTTGTTTGCAAGCCTCACCCACGTGAGAAAATACAGTCTCCTCGTTCTGCCAAGGCCCTTGGAACTAACCTCCCCCCATTTCAGGGGACAACAACCCGAATACTGGAGTGCAGAGAGGCCGTAGGGCAAGGCCGAGGGAGACCCATTCTAGAACCACGATTGCACAATGCCACACGCCCTCTTCTGCCAAAAGCATTTGCGTCTGTGGGCGTTATTTGCCCGGGCCGCCTCCCCCCCCCAGCCTCCTGACGCATACGAAGTCGGCCGTATCTCCTCGGAGGAGACCTGCTCTCCCCATCGCCTCTTGTGGCTTCCCCTCCCCGCCCTTCAACCGCCTCCGCCAGCCAGCAGACGCCATCAAGGCTGGACAAATCAAGCCGTTCGACTGACCCTGCCGAGGAAATCTCGGCACACATTTCCTCGGCCTCTGGTCTGTTTATCCTCAGCCAGGGTATCCCGGGAAATGTAGTTCGTAACAAGCCCGGCTTTCCTTACACCACGCCGCGCCCGGGCGAGTGACCTACTTTGCCTTTTAACTACCCTTCTCAATATGCTTTGCACCAAAGCTGGCCCAGACAACCGAGCGCTTGCTCAGTGGAGGACAGAATTTTCCAACGCGCAGGCGCTCTCCGCGCTCCATTGCTCAACTCGAGAAGCCTCCCCTCCCCGTCCCCCTCCCCCCCCTTGCCATTTTGCATTGTTCGTTTCTATCTAAACCCGTTTTTCGCCCAACTCCTTTTCTCGTGCGTATGAGGGGCGGCGGGGAGGAGGAGGAGGGGCGGGAACCAGCGGAGGCTGTTTTCTGCAGGGAATCTGCAAGCCCGCATCTCCCTCGGACGTTCACACACGTACACCCCCCCTCCCCCCCTCTCTATTAGGCCCACGGGTAAGAGGGGCGGGGAAGGCCACTCTGGGGACCCGATTACTCGAGAGTAAGCCGCACCCGGCGAGTTCGGCGGGCGCCGCTTCCCCGCAAGTCCGCCGCCAGCTTGGGGATGCCAAAGCCCCCACTTGACAGCGAGGGAGGAGAGGAAAAGCCGCCCCGACAGAGAGCAAGCCCGGCCGATCCGCCCTCGGCTCCCGACCCGGAATCCTCCCGCTCCCTGTGGAAAAGAACGGCGCCCACCCTCGGGGGGGAAGGGGCCCTCGGAAGGGGGGGTGGAGGCGGACCGCGCAGCTGCTGCGCCCCGGTGAAGGTGACTCCAGTCGGCCCTGACCTTTACCTTCGCAGCCCGGGCGGCCAGGCAGGCAGGCACACCTCGGGAAGGGCCTGCCAAGTTCCCCCCCAAAGCCAGGAGGGCCGGCGGCTCGCCCCTTGCCCTCTCACCCCCACCCCCCTCTCCGTCCCTCCGTCCCACGCGACGGCCGCGCAATGGACGAGGCGTCAGGCCGCGAGCGATGGCCCAGGGCCGCCCGCCCGCCCCCCCCTCTCTCGGCCTAGTGGGGTGGGGGGGGGCTGGCTTCCTTCACGCGGCCGGCGGAAGGCTCGAGCGACGCCCCTGCCCGCAAGAGAGCGCCTGTGGCCGCCGCGGTGAAGCCGAGCTGGTCTTCGGCTGGCCTCCCTCCTCCCCGCCTCCCGAGTCCTTCGAGGGAGTTCGCCCCACTACAGGCTGGGGGGGGGGGGAGGGGGGGGGAACCGTTT